TATTAGTAACAGTTCTTGAAATAGAAGGGCCAGGCTGCAAAGGAATGACTAGCAAGGGTCTAGAGCTAAAATTCCTGAACTATCTCAGCAAAACCAAGAGGTGAGGGACCAAGACAGCAAGGAAAGAGTAAAAACTTTCCAAAGTTCTCATTTCATAGTAGAAAGGAGAGCAGGAAAATCCTTTTCAAGGTCTCATCTTACAGGGCAGGGGAGCACTGAACAGAGTAGTACGGGCGTGGGAGGGATTTTTTGAAATGATAATAGACAAATACCTGTATTATTATAAGGGTCACAAGCTGAGGTCACCATGAGTAGAAAGGAAAAGAACAACAGAGTTTCCAAAATAATAAGGGAACAATGGGAACCAAAATGACAAGAACAAGAAGAGGTCTGTGGACTATGGAAACAATGAAATAAATAAGTTAATTCAAGTTACCTGGAAGGATATCAACCAGATATAGCAGTTGTCATGTTAAATGGGAATGGGTTGAATTCCTCTTTCAGAAAAAATAGATTGCCAGATTGTTCAAAACACTTAATACAAAGAAAGCAGCAAAGAGAAAAGAAAGCAAGAATGATGTTTGTATCAGACAAAGCAGGATTAAAAACATCAAACTAGATTAAGAGAGACATTAAGTACATGAAAGGCAGTATTTACAAAGATAGTATAATAGTCGTAAACCCAAATGCACAAAACAACATGGCAGCTAAATACAGAAAGCAAAATCCACAAGAAATCCAATGAGAAATAAGAGGAACTGACTGGTTTAGCAGATGAAACAAAGCAAGAGCGTGGAGGATTGAAAGCACATGGTAACATTAATGAACAATTAATGAATTTGTAAAGGGTGAGTATATGCATGCACGAGTGGAAAAATATGTAGTTTATTCATGAATAAATAATTGCATGAATTCGTGCATGAATGCAAGAAAAACAAAACCATGAATGACTAAATGAATGAATGGTGATAAAAACAAACACAGAAATGGAGAGAGACTTGAAAACATGAATAAGTAAAGCAGCAGATTTCTACAGAGAGGATGGAAGACAGGGGAAGAGAGGAAGGAGGGAATGCACCAGCTCACACAGAGGCACAGCCCCAGGAGAGCTCCACTTCCCGTGCCCTGGCTGCGCTCACCCTGCAGAAGAAGTGCAGGAAGGTGTTGGAAAGCAGCAGGTGCTTCTCGGCCAGGAAGCGATAGCGCCGCTTCTCTTCCAGCTCCGCTGCCCGTTGACTCTCCGACACGAAGGCCTGCATTTGTGCATGCAGCCGGTTCACGCTCTCCTGGAGGGGAAGGGAGCACTGGCTGGGGGCAGTGGGTTGGTGGACCATTGCCCGCCATGGGCGCTTCTGTCTGCAGCCTCCCTGTCCCTTCCTGACCTGACCACCTCCTCCCAAGTCCCCCAACCCCAGCACTCAGCCCGTCCTAGCTGCCTGGGCTCTGCTTCTCTCCTGGCCTGGGCGCTTCTCCCAGGCAGGGCTACTGCTGAGCACGGAGGTGGGGCCCGGGGAGGTCTGTGTAATGAAAATACGAACGAGGGGATTAATTATGTCCTATGTGGAATGGAAGATTTTGAAGAGGGGAGACGTGAGCTTACTTAAAGGAAGAGGAAGAGGAAGAGGATTCAGGCAAGGAAATGGAGGGTTATCAATCCATGGAGTTGGGTCTTGGAGACAGAGACCAGGGACAGGGCCCTGAGCTTGAGAGAAGGGAATGTTCTTAACCAGGAGGCATTGACCTCTCTGCCTACAGGGAGGCTGATGGCACCACAAGTGGACTGGGCCTTTGCTACCATGTGCATGAGCGTCTTGACTGATTGTCTCAATAAGAGAATGAAGTGGGGGTGCTAGGGTTGGGGGTGCTGGGGACCCAAGGAAGGCCAGGGAGTCACAAGGGCAAGGAGCAGGGTTGAGGGGTGGCCCGAGGGCCTGTGATGCCCATCACCCTTGGACAGGCTGACTCTCCAGCTATGCTCAGCAGGGAGTGGGGGCAAGCCCTGCTCTTGGGGTTTGACTGGTGCTGGGTGGGGGAACCCAGGAGAGTACTGGGGTTCCCGCATCACCTGCCTGCCCGCCCACCCCCGGCATGCCCCCGGCTCTTGCACCTTCATCTCCCGCGCGTTCTTGTCCCTCTTACGCTCCATGCGCCACAGCTCAGACATGCACTTTTCTAGGTTGGCAGCTCGGTGGCGGTACTCAATCTCATAGTGCTGGCGGCTGTCCTAGGGTGGGGTGGCGAGAGGAGGGAGGCCCCCCATCAGAGAACTCCACACAACTGGCCAAAGGTCAGAGCACTGGGCAAGGGTCAGGGCTACTCAGCCAGCCAATGCCCAGGGCTGGCCTCCGTGTGCCCATCTGTCAAATGGGGAGAGGAGGTCCTGCCCGAACAGGAGGCCTGACTCACTTTGATGAACTGCATGTCCAGCTTGGTGTTCTTCTCCATGTGCTGCAGCAGGTCTCCGTGGAAGGTCTGCACCTGTGCGGGGTACAGAGCGGGCGATCAGGGGGGACTCCCCTTCACAGGCCCCAGCACCCCCTCTGCCCTCCCCACTCCAACACCCTGGCCACTCTGCTCCTAACACATCAAGAACCTGCCTGCTGGTTGGAGAAGTGAGGATACTAAGAGCAGTTGGTTGAAGGAGGATCAAATGGTTAAACATACAAAGCCTTAGTACACTGCCCGGCTGGAACCACACCCTCAGGACATGGGCCCCCATCCTCTTGAGGGGTCTCAAGACTGAGGCCAGTGTGGCTCAGGTTATGCCATTCCCTCTGCCTCGAATTTCCTATCACTGTTCACACCCAGCTTGCTGCCTCCTCTTCTCGGAAGCCTTCCTAGCCTCCCTCGGCGGAATGAACTGCTTTCTTCATCTTGGCTTCGGAAATGTGTACATATCTGTTCGGTCATTGTTCATTGCTTCAGCCATGGGCAGGACTTATTGCTGGGCCCCTGGCCATGGCTTTTTGCACTGGTCTGAGTTTCTCTCTCTGTACTTGGTTGGTCGGCCCTCCAGGCAGCAAGCTGCTGTGGGTGTGAACCATGCCTGACCCATCTCTGCACGCTCAGGCCTGGCTCAAGGCAAGTGCTCAGAACTGCTGAGGCCTTAGGTGGTGGTAGTGGTGGTAGGGGTCCAGTGTCGGGCAAGAAGTGGGCATCAGACCACCCAGAAGATGAACCTGCCAAGGGCTTGGCTCAGCAGAGCGGCAGTCTAATTCTGGTTGTGCCTCCAATCTGCCTTGAGACTTTCCCCACCCGTACCAGGAAAGGATTGACCAGATGCTATCTGAGGTCCAGCTCTACCAACTTCAATGAACTTCGAGTCTGTGGACTGCACTGGTCACCTGACACAATCCCCTTTGTCCTCCATCAGCTCTCCCTGAGTCACCTTCCGTGATGGCAGTTAGACCTAAGCCCTCCCCACTGTCCTCGGGCTCAGGCAGCCCAGGGAAGGAAGAGAAGCTTCCCTGCCATCGGAGGGGTATGCCTCCGGAGACCATCCCCTTCTGCTCAGCCCTGTCTGCGTACCCACACCCACCTCATGCCCTCCTCAAGAGCCCTCCACGGACCCCACCTCCTGCCATAGGAGTCTCTCCCAGGGGCCAGGCTACTGCCTAGAAATGGAATATTGATAATCTGCTTCCAGAATGCAGGCAAAACCAGTGCACTATAAAATCTCTAGCTTTTAGGGTTTTCTCCCACAAAAAAAACATGTTCCTGAAATCTTGGGAACTGCTGGTCTACAGGGGGGCTGGAGTATGGCTTCCTCAGGAGTCCCTGGAGCTGGAGCCACTAAGGGGTGAGGGTGGGGGTGGGGGATGGCCCAGGGGCTGGGTTGGGTCGGAGGAAAAGAAGTGCCTCACGTGTCCAAAAGGAAGTGAGTCTTCCAAAAGCTGCTGTCCCACTACCCTGGCAGTGAGTGCCTCCTGGAATTCTGGGTCCTAGGCAGTAGCCAAGGAGCTTTGGTGGAGTAGTGGGTAAGGCATTTGGCTGCTTAATCAGAAGGCTGGTGGTTCAAATCCATCAATTGCTCTGAGGGAGAATGATAAGGCAATCTGCTTTTGGGAGCTCTGGTAGCATAGTGCCTAAGGCACTTGACTGCTCACCAGAAGGCTGGCGGTTCAAACCCACCAGCCACTCTTCGGAAGCAAGGTTGGGCAACCTACTTCCGTAGTGATACCACCTCGGAAACCCAAGGAGGGGTCGCTGTGAGTCGGGGCCGACGCGAGGGCAAAACAACAACAACAAAAACAACAGGCAGTAGCCTCGCTCCACCTCTGGATTCTCACTAAAGAGACAGCCCAAGATTTTTGCTCCAACACCACACGTGTACCTGAAAAAAACTCACATTCTGTAAAATTGTGCAGTCTAAACAATGGGATTTGGGGGGAACGTGAATGTGGGACAGACCCTCCACACTCAGGCAACTTTGTAATCAGAGCACTGGTAAAGACGATGTGGTGGGGGTACCTGGAGAGATGAACTTGACCCACCCAACCAAATCAGCAACCGATGGCAGGAAGTGGAGACTGACTCGTGGCAACCCCGTGCGTGTCAGAGCAGAGCTGGTCTCCAACCAATGGCTGAGTTTTCAAAAGCAGATCTCCAGGACTTCTTCCGAGGCACCTCTAGGTGGGGTCAAGCCCCCACCTTCCAGTTAGCGGCCGAGTGCATAACCTTTGTGCCTCTCAGGGACCCCCAACATCCACAGCAAACGTTAAAACTGCACAAAACCAGAGTGAACGTTCTGGCAGCACCGTGGAGCCGGCAGAGCTGAGATGATGCAGGAAGAGAGCCCTGCGCCGTGGGGTTGACAGTCCAGTGGCCGCAGGAGGCGGGGCGAGGGGGTGGGTCTCTCTTTTAAAATGTTCTAAGTACAGCCCAGGTGGGGACCAGGTTTGCTGGTCCAATGGAGCCTGGTGTAACCACTGAGACTATGG